ATGAATCCATACGATGTACCATAAAAAACATGCATTTGCATATTTTGGTTTCCCTGGTTACAAGTCAATTATGGACGTTTAAGACATTTTCTGAAGGGGAATTTGTATGGGAGCTAGGGTCAAAGAGGTTTCGATAATTATATAAAAATTAGTTGTACCGAAGTGGAGATACTATTATGTTTAACTTAGTTATGAGCTAAAAAGCCTAAATCGGAAGGTTGGATTATATGGTGGCTAGGTAAAAAGAGAGTTATTTAAGGTGGGGAGGATCCTCTTTTGTAGATTTGACTCAATATGGACCGAACTTTACAGTATTCAACAAAGTGATTAATTTCGAATAAGAAATAATTTCTTCGAATTTTGTAAATAATTTATTGAAAATAAAGTGATTTTCTGCAATAGGGATTACATGTGGTGTAGGAGGGTCAATTACGAGCTCATTCTAATGAAATTTGATATAGATATCAGACTAATTGTAATTTTCAATTACAATTACATTTGAAATTATTGTAATTGAAGCTTCACCCATTACAATTACTTGAAGTTTTAGCATTTACAATTATTTGTAATTGAAACTTACAATTACTTGTAATTGAAACTTACAACTACTTGTAATTGAAGTTTTAATTTCAACTAAAATTGTTATTGGTCAATTACGCATTACAAATAGTAATTGTAATTGGAAAAACTTCAAATAAAAGTACAAATAATTGTAATTGTTTAATGCTCAATTACAAATTACAAGTAATTGTAATTGATCATAACATTTTCGATTCATTACCCCCCAATTAATTAATATTTTATGAAACTTTCTTACCAAATATTGATTTTTAATAAGAAGTAAAAGTGGTTATTTATCACCTTTGAAGACTTGTATCAAAACTTAGTTTTACCTGCAATATATGGCTACGTCACTGTAAAACTAATGTGAGATGATTTTTTCTTTTGTATTTTAACTAGGCGCGTGTTCGCAAACAATAAAATGTATAAATATAATTTCATTTATGGCTAATGCTAATTTAAAATAATAATGCCAAATGTTTATTATCAAATATAAATTTTTTTAAACATTTTATATAATTAAAAATCAATGTATTACAGTAATCATAAATACCATAAAATTTATTTATCAATTCCAATTAAATTTTTTGCACTCCCTGTGTGCGTGAGTGCCTAAATATATTTTTTTAATGAAAATGCAATTAATTAAGTTTGAAAGATAGATAGATATATTTAGTTTTGTTGAAACACGTGTAAACCCCTACTAACTTCCAACTTCCGTCACTTTTCTAAGTTTGTTTTAAAACGAAAAGAAAAATTGTTAAAAATCAACAAGATTTAATGAAAACAATGAGAAAAAAAGTAGCGATTTACTTGTATAATTGAAGACACACATGCAATTAAGTCTTGGTCTAATGAACCCAACAACCGATATTACCGACACACAAACACTCTCTTTCTCCTAATCAGAGCCACTTGAATTTAAAAAAATTTCACTTATTGCAAACTAAAAGATGTGATTTGGATAAAAACATATTAATATTTTTTGTTTAAACTTTTTAAAAATAAAGATTAATTTAATTTAAAAAATATAAAAAATTTCACTTTTATCTAATTACCGAAAATAAAATATGGTAAAGGTTTTGTTTTCTGGTGTGAATTATTACAAAATTGCAAAAAATATAAAAATAGCAATAAAAAGTATTTATAAACCTAGAGATGAATATAAAAAAAAAGTTGAAAAGAAACATTAATTTTACATAAAAAAAAAATATTTGTAATGCTCCACCTAGCACCAGAAGAAACAAAAAAAAAAACAAAACAAAAGCACTGACAACAAATACAGCATGAAAATGAAAATAAAGTAGTTGTGAACCATGTGGTATGATAAGGGGCCTTAAGCAAAAATAATACATTCACGTGTAGTGATTTAAATAGTTATGAAACTGTTTTGTGATAAAATGCTGTTTAAAGAATAAAAAGTTTAAACAGGAGGCTTAATTCATTCATAGTGTGGGACATTTCACGATTGTAGGCCTATTTAAGATCGCCATATAAACGTAATTCATGTTCATACATCCACTTCAAAAGAAATCCCCAACTTGATCTCCAATGGGTTAATTAAACCGGCAACAGTGTTTTGTGCATTTCATTGAGCAAATTTTTTTTGTAAACGCGCATGCGTTAAAGTTCATAACATTTTGCTTTAGCTTCGCTTTGATAACTGATTTTATTATGTATTTCCTTAAACTCACACACAAACAAAACCTACCACACACCTACATTTACAGCCACTTCAAAAATCTTGGCTTTTTTCATTTAAGCCACATTTAAAAGCTTTTTGTTTTTTTATTATTACAATTGCGCAACAATAAGCATTATACACACATAGTTTTTTGGGGAGTTTTTAAATAACAACAACAACAAGACGATTGTAATAATCATCATTATATTTGTACCATATGTTACCTCGACTTTGTTTGTTGTTGTTTGGGTTTGTTGTTTGTTGAGACAACAAAAAAGCTAAACAAACAGATAAATTCGAGCCAAAAAGATACAACAAATTTTAAACTCTTGCATACACATAGATACCATTTATTCACACACATACATATGTACATATCTATGTGCACAATACTAATGCATTGTCATTCTTCTTATATACACACTCATTTCCATTGTTTTCGTTAAAGTTTTGCATGTTTTGCTTTTAAGCACCCTACAGTTGATAAATACCAATTCCTTTTCCATAAAAATCATTAATTTGGTAGTTTTCAACAGATTTTCAAATCTGATATTCTCTTTTGAAGATATGTACATGATTAAGGCATGTCCGTCTGTCTCTCGTCCGTCTTGGTACTTTTGGTCCAAGTACTAACCGTATTGATTTTGATTAAAATCGGTCCATTATTTCTCCTCTCCCCCATACAACCGGTCCGGAAAACTCGATATTTTTTCGATTCGTCCTCGGTTAGTTTATGTTATTTAAGAGCCGATTTCGAATAAAGGTAAAATATCCAAGGGATATCCTGTATAAAGGCGTAATAAGGATAAGAGCAATTTTTGAAAAAAATTACGGTGGATATTGAGGCTATTGACAGTCCGAATTAATAATAATTTAAAACCTTAACAGTTTTGGCAAAATTTTTCTTTAAATGTCAAGTTTTCTCATAAATGTACACCCATTTTTTGGTCTAAGCTTAAAAGGAATTAAAAAAGTATATATATTCGGGGTCCTTATTGAATTCTAAGACGAACTAGCCATGTCCGTCTGTCTGTCAGTTGAAAACACGATCGAGTCCGAACTTAAAGAGCTAGTGGGTTAAAATTTTACACAAATATTCCCTATAGTTAAGGTTTGTTTCGTATTAAAAATGGACAATATTGATCCAAGTTTTCGCAAAGCCCCCATACAAGTGTCCTCCCGAAAAACTGCTTTAACAGTCATAATTGTTAATTATGTCCAGCCAAAATCTCTGTAGCACATTTTATGAGGATCGGTTCATAATTGACCCTAGCCCCATACATATAAGGTCCATTCCAAATATCATCGAAGAGACGGATATATCCATTTAGATATATGTATCTGTCTCTCCGAGTGTTTGTTGAAAGTTTAAAAAGACCCCAAATATAATGAATAATTGCTTTGGACATACTTCCACGAAAATTGCTATTTAAAATCAGTAAAATCGGTCCATAAATAACGAAGATATATAAAAATAAGGCCGATTAACACATAAATAATGATTTGAAGGAAGACCAAACATCCATAGAAAAAATATATTCTAAATCGACTATAATATGGCGTTTCTAGGTAAACTAAGTACATTAGAAATAATTCAGGAAGGAATCATCTGTATCAATATAGAACTAACATCTTTGGACTGTAATCTGACGTATAGGCCTTAACATAAGGAATAGACCCTGAAAAGTTCGGCTATGTTCCCTAAAAACAGAGTCTTAGCTATCGGCCTACCCTATATCATACCCTAGAAAAGGCCGATTAACACATAAATAATGATTTGAAGGAAAACCAAAAATCCGTAGAAAAAATATATACTAAATCGAATATAATATGGCGTTTCTAGGTAAACTAAGTCCATTAGAAATAATTCGGGAAGGAAACATCTGTATCAATGTAGAACTAACATCTTTGGACTGTAATCTTAGGTATAGGCCTATTAAAGTTCATTGACTTGATGACAGTGATAGTAATTTTATATTCGATTCAATGAAACTTTAAAAACATTAATACAGCTCTTAAAATGTTTAAACAAACCCAATAGTTGCCGAGATTTATTCTAATCTAAACCAAAAGCTTTGAAAGCTTTTTTCACACAAAGTGTAGTGTATCATATTATTCGTTTTAGCATATACACAATACATTTGTTTATTTTCATTCAATATAAAATTTATCTACAGCTTTTTAATAATATTTTCTGTATTTTGTTTTGTTAAACATCAAGCACATTGTTGGGAGCTCAACAACCAACAAAGATGCCTACATAGTAAACAAAAAATAAATGTTTTTATTTAACAATTTCAGCTGTAGTTGTAATATTATTTTGTATCTCAAAGCCCTCTCCCGGTTGTTAATCTCTTCGGTTTATTTTTCGACATTTCGACAAAGTTTCTGCAAGTTTTTATTTATTTTTTTAATATTTATTCATACAATTGTTGTAGTTGGTGGATTTATTTCTTCAATGTTGTTGTATTTTTTGTGTAAGTTATTTTCCACAAAACTTTTGCACTTTTCATATTATTGTTGTTATTGGTGTTGATGTTGTAGTTATTATTACTGTTGTTGTTGTTATACTGTTAACGTTTATATCCGTTGTTGGTTTACTCAACCATATTTCATCTAACTTTTGCTGTATTTTCGCTGCCTTTTCAATTTCAGCAGTATTTATTTTTTGTTTTTGTTTATTTTTTATTTATTTATTTTTTTTTAGTTACAAGCCACCAACAAATTTCAATTTCATTCAGTTACCTTACGGTACGGGTACTGAACTGTTGTATATTAATTCGTATTCAATAAAATATAAAATATTGAACGAAAATTTTAATTTTTATTTATCGATTTAAAATTTCGACAAGTTAAATACAAAATTGTATTTTATTGAGTGTTTATCCTGTTTTGAAAAAAAAAAACTGAAAATTAAGTGGTTTTGAAGTGTATAAAGTGAGTTTGAAAAATAATGAAACTCTATGTAACATAGTGATAGAGAAAGCTTTTAGAGTTAATTGTTTCAGCTATAATTTAAAGTTTGAAATAATTAGTTCTTTCTAATTCTAAAATACTTAGATTAGTATTTAGAACTTTTAAAAATTATTTCTTAAAAAAAAAAATAATTTAAAATTAAGTGCTTGGATTGTAAAAAGTCGAATTTTTAAAATGAATATTTAACTAAATTTTTATGATTTGTCTTCAAAATATTGGTAAATTATATAGTTTTAAGTTTACTTTGGTATATTTTGTTGTGTTTTATTTATCCTTAATTAGTTTAAGAATTTTTAAAATTTAAAAGATTTTTAATATCAGTTAAAATACAAATTTAATATTCAAAGTAATATTATGAAGAACAACATACCTTTATTCGATTAATTCCAAAATAAGTACATTGTACATATGTATGTAGCTGTTAAATGGTGATCCTAAATGTTGACCACCATTTTTATACCTTCCACCACCATCAGTGATAGTAGAGGGTATATACATATATGTATATTCCGGGTCCTTATCAAATTCTGAGTTTAAAACTAAGCAAATGAAGTCAACCAAATTCACCAAAAATATTCATTATTTGGTATTGAAAATCAGCAAAATCGGTTCACAACATAAAAAGTTATCAGTAAAATTTTCAGACTACATCGAAAAAATCAAATTTCTCGGCAATTGATTTATCGTTAATAACTTCGTCAAAAATATTTGTATATTTGCAGATAAGTATATCATATAAACAGAAACCATATTACCGACTTAGATCTGTATCGGTCCTTAATTGGCCATATAAGGTATACTTCCGAAAATCACTTAAATGCTTAACTTAAATTAAGAAATAAAGATATTGGAATAATATTTTACATAAATATTTTTTGTGTATACATATATCACTCTAAAAAATAGTTTTCGGATCGGGCCATAATTTGGCATAGCTCCCATATAAGGTACAATTCCGATAACCACGTACACGAACATATTTCATTACTGAATGAAGATATCGTCATGAATGTATTTAAGGTACATAAACCCCACCCTAAGAAATATTTTCCGGTTCGGTCCATAATTGGTCATAGCTCCCATATAAAGTCCACTTTCGAAATTCACTTAAATGCACATAACTACATAATTAAGAAATAAAGATATTGGAATAATATTCGACATAAATATGTTTTATGTATATATATGACTCTACCAAATTTTTTTCCGGATCGGTGCATAATTGGTCATAGGTACTATATAAGACCCACTTCCGATAACCACGTAAACGGATATACATATTTCATTACGAAATGAAGATATCGGTATAGAATTCGTAATGAATGTATTTAAAGTAGACATAAAAAACCCTGAAAAATATTTTCCGGATCCTTCCATAATTGTTCATAGCTCCCATATAGGATCCACTTCCAAAAATAGCATTTTTCACTGAAAAATAAAGATATCGGACTAAAATTTCACATTAAAAAAGTTTTTTCCAGATAGGACCATAATTTTCCAGCCTGTGATATACGGTATTAAGCGCACATATTTCATTGACAAAAAGAGTTATCGCTATAAAAGTTGACATGAGTCTATTTTTTGTATATACATATAAATCATTCTGAAAAAAGCCCTCATAAGTTACACTTTCTTAAGTCACTTTTTCCCATATATTTCATTTATATATGAGTATATATAAATAAAATCCTTCTCATTTATGTAGGTCACATGGGTTAGATTGAAAGCAAAATCTTCATCTAGGCCTTTATGGGTCAAAAACATATTCAAAACATATTTTCGAGAAAACATTTCAAAAACATATTTTCGAGAACGTAGTTTCATAAAATTTTCCTATCAATGTTTCAAAGGTATGTAAAATCTGCAATAACATAGATATAATGCCAGAGGTCTCTCAATAGGTTTTCAGTGGTCCTACCCACCGTTCCAGTTTTCCAAGTGACCGAACGGGATTCTCTCGCCCATGTTTTTAATTCTGCTCTTTGTGGGTCAGATTCATTTCCCCAAGCTTATACTCGTTATACGGTATCGGTCCTATCGGCTCTCTAACAGTCCAATAGGGTCTTAGGTTTTACATTATCATCATCTCCCTTCACACTAGCTGAAAACATGTAAAGCTCTGCGCGATATTTAATCCATTCTATTTCAATATTCCATCATAGCAAGGCCTTTTCCTTCCAAAAGACTGTCGGACAGACTCCCCCCGGGGGCATGTTACCTTGGTGAAAGCTACACCTTGGTGTTATTGCAATATCCCGGGGAAAAGAGGTGCTACCAATACCTCTAGTCTGCCGGGACTATAAACTGGTGATGATCAGATGTATCCTCGGCCTTTCCTTGGAATGATCTGGCATGGGGTCGAACCAGAGCGCCAGATAATCTGGTACTACGGGTGGCCAGTTGCCCGTAGGACTTGTCCTGGCTGGTCAGTTGGTTGAGGTTCCTTCGGGATCCACGTAGTGGCTGTGGTTTAATACCCAAAATCGCGGGAAGGGACAGTTGGTTTGGTTTGATTCACGGTGAAGTAATATCTTTTCAAGATAAGTTTCTGTTATCGACGGTTAGGTCGGTACAAACCACAGGGTAGGCTGTGGAATAAAATGTTGGGAATGAGCTGATAATGCATGGATTGATCATTAAAAATGATGTGTTGACTGTTGGATACGATGTATCTGATGGAAGAGATGGAAGTGTCGGAAGATATGGAAGTGTCGGAAGAGATGGAAGTGTCGGAAGAGACGGAAGTCGTACAGGACGGAAGTGTCGGAAGAGACGGAAGTGTCAGAAGAGACGGAAGTGTTGGTAGAGGTGGAAGCGTTGGAGAAGGTTTGATGGGTTGGAGTTTTGCTGCATACTTAAGTATGATTGATGTTTTTTGAGCGGTTTGGTGATGATGTTTAATCCTTGTTTTATCGGCAATTTTCCTTCATGGTTGGGTGTGTTTGGAGTTTACTCTAATCATGCTTAACACAAAGCAGTAGGTCCTAATGGCCACTGAAATAAGTCTTGTCAAGTTATTATGAATCTGTGATTCGGTCTGCCAATTTGTCCCTAGGTGCTGTTGCCGAAGCAACAGAGCCTTGTGATGTGGTTGCGCGACTAATGGTTTTTAATACTACCTGTGCGGATCGTTAGAGGATGGGGACGCTACGGCGTCGCTCATGGCTGTGCATATACCTGTTGATCTATCTCGGTGTTGATCCCGAGATTATAGATTCAATGGGTGCGATGTTGGGGTCTTCGTTGACCTCTCTCTTTCGATTCGTCTGGTACTTTTCAGCCTGTCGGGGTAGCTTGCTACCTGTCTTTCCGCAACGTGATCACTTGGCAAGAGATTAGATAGCTCGAGCTCTTCAGCAAAGTGCTTGTACATGGACCGGCTCATCCATGTACAAAAATTGCCACCTGAGTGGTCCTTCTCTTTCCGGGAAGCTGCTCAGGGGCGAGTGGTGAACCGTCCCAAGTTCACCCAGTGGTTGAAACAGACCACCGTGAAATAAAGCCATCATGGCAGGTGTTCACGTAAAGCACTCGACATTCGTGTCGGACAGACTATTTTATCAAATATAGTGTGTACTATTAGGTTTTAAATGACAAAAATTCTTTGTCTAAATGTTAATAAACGTGGTAAGCTCACTATTGGCAACGGATTGTTTGTCTTACCACGTTTGTTAACATTTAGACAACGGATGTGTATACAATTTAGATTTCGACAACGAATTGTTGCAATGTTGTCAACATTACACAGTGTTGTCGTACGTATGTATATATTTTGACAACGGATGGTATTGAAAAATTATAAACAGTTAGATGTCAATTTGGTACCAGGCGTGTATATTTATTTTTCCCTCTGTGTACATTTAATTTTATATCTTAGTTAATTCAATCACATTTCTTACTTAATTCAAAAATTTATTCATTCGCATCATAACAATCGTAATTCTTCTTTAGTTAAGAATATTTTTGCAAAATTTATTTGTTGTTATGAAATTTAAATTTTTTTGTAATTAACTTTTTTGCTGCAATGTCCTACATTTTGAAACCAAACATAAATATAGCTCAAATCAAGCCCATGTTGGATTGGGATTAATTCAAACTTTTACATTCTTAAATCAATCTTATTTGTGTCTCAAATTAAGTTTGCATTTGAAAACCAAAAATTCTAAAAAAAAGACTTTGACCCAAAAACATCTTCAATATTAAAAATTCAACATTACATTCTTTACCACCACTGATCATTCATAAATATTTTTTTCTTAACATTAACATATTTTACTTTTGAAAAGACCTGTTTAACGATAAACACATAAAAATTACATAATTGTCTCAATTCATTGAAAAACCCCACAATGATTTATTAAAATCACTTTGGTGTCGGCGTTTTTGGTTAAACATTAAAAAGAAGAAAAATAATAAATACTTACCAAAATGGTCAAGAAAAACTAAATGCAAATGCAACAAACTAAACTTACTTAACAAACAACCAACTAATAATAAACACTTATTTTGTAATTGTCACATTCGTACATGAATATATAAATAGAGAAATAAAACAAATGAACATTAATGCATTCAAATTAAAATAAAATTTGAAATTATTTTATTAAAGTAACAGCAACGTGAGTAGACAGATTGATGGGCGGCGGCAAGTGTTCAGATAAATAAATAGAAAAAAAACCCAATCTATTACAATCCCGTCTGTCTAATGGCTAAAACTGAAAACTACAAAAATACAATTCAACCATAAATAAATCGAAAAATGTAACTAACATTTATTTATTTATTATTGATAAAGGTTAATAACACTTTCTTTTTCCAATTGATTTTTTCTTCTTTTTGTCGTTTTTTTACTTGTCTTTAAGGAAAATAGTATGTGTGTAAGTAATATTGAAATGAAAAATGTAACGACAATATATGACCACTGATACCGCCACGCCACCACGATGAAATCCAAAGACGAA